TCAGCAGGATGTCTGATTAGGATTTCAGATTACTCCTCTAACAGAAGACAGAAACACTAATTTCCTGGTTCAGAAGTCTGGGGCAAAATACTCTTTCGGAATGAGACAGTCCTACTGGGTTGATATACTTGTGACTTCTATGGAGATTCTGACTCTTGATGCATCTGGAGTTTGATGCTAGAAGAGCACTACATGTTTATTTTTCCCTGAGTTAATAACAAATCATGCATCATATGATTGCCTGATTCCAGAAGCAACAACAACAGCAGCTTGCATCTTTTCCTCTCTGTCTGTCCAGATAATATTACAGGCAGGGGATGGAGGATACTTTATTCAGGCCCAAATAAAACTAAAATACAATAGATTTATCCAACATTAATCTTCTCTTCAAACAAGAGCAGCACACTACCCAGCACCAGTGAGATAAAGATTCTATTTTTAATACTTCTATAAACAGAAAGAGCAAAATGTTTTTATCTTTTGGATGACTCCTGCTTCTTTCATCCTAAACTAGACATTAGATCATTACACTTCACTACAAAGAGAAGTCATGTGATAACCAAATCAATTTTTTTGTGTGTCAGTAGTGGCTAAACGGCTGCTCAAGACTTAGCACCTTGCAAGGGTTTCTGTAAAAATAACATAGCTGTGGTATTTTAATCTATACAGGAATAAATATATGCACCAAGTCTGAAACAAAATTCATACATTAAAATTTGTAAATTGAGACTTACAATAAGCTGTAAGGCATTACATAGACTTACCTACTGATCACCTGGGGTTAGCTGGCCAAAACAATTCATGTCTAACTCCATATTTCAATATAATGCTTTTGGAATTTAATGCTTTAGTGATCATGAACAACAATCTTTTGCGGTGAGCAAGCTACATAAGCCACAATGCAGTAACAGAACTATATTGAACATCTACACAGCTGTGCCCACTGCAACTAGCTGGAAAGATGTTTTACAAGTGGAGCCTGATCAATCTCGGCTTCAGAGCCGCTTCAACTGAGATGCCACAGGAGAAAAAAAGATTTCCTTGAAAAGTACTGCAACTAGAACCCAGCAAAGAGCAACATAGAGAAGAATTCTTATATACAGAATTCTTCCTAAACTTTACAGGCATTTGCATGGGTGTAAGAGAGCAATTTAGTTTTGGGATCTCTGAGTTAATTAGATTGCTATTATTTATTGAAAAATAACAATTAAACCTATTAATTAATTTTAACTGCCTGTCAATTAAGAAAAGAGCAACTTCAAGACTTCCATGTGGGCTTACTAGCATTCATTAAAAACCCTTAAAATTTGAAAACTTTTTAAAATTATTATTTAAAGTAATTTTGTTTCACTTTTACAAGTAAATTCTATCACTTGAAAAGTGCTGACAATTCTCATAGCAACCCACTTTCAAGTTTTGAAAAAAGTACAGCAACAATAGTTCTTATTCAGAAAAATATCTAGTCAACTGTTCTAGTCACGTATGTGAACAGAAGCTGGTAAACTGGAAATCTAGCAACATATTAAAAGTCTTCAACAGAGCCATTAGCTCCGTTCTCATCCATTTTTTTCCTTAGTAAGAAGGAACTCTATAAGGATGATCATGAATATCCTTAAAGTAGAAGCCAGATTTTGAGAACTGACGTCAAGCACTAAAACATCATTACACTGTCAGACACTGCAGTACCAAATTATTAACTGTTATCATTAAAAAAAAAAAAAATAAGTAGCTCTTTTTGATGGGATCCTGAGACGGTCAGAGTTTCCAGGCGTTTTTGCCTAGACCCTTCCCCTGTAGTGCACTCCCTAAGGAAGAGAGATGCTTGTAAACTCAAAAATCCAGGCTTCATTAGAAGAAACGCTAATGCAATTAATGTATTAAGTAGAGAAAACTTAAAGAAATGAAATAAAATAGATTAGAAACATTAAGTTTATAAAATTTACAAAATCTTTTTTATAAAATTGTGTTATAAACCTGTCCCTCTCTGCTCACTGTCCCTGTAGGGTTAGCCTGCACTTCCAGCAGGGTTACAGCAAACTCTGTCTCCTATCACCACAAAGTTTTTCTTTCTGTCTGCCTTCCCCTAGAAGCAGTCTTGCCACTGGTGGTTCTTTTTTTTTTTTTTTTTTTTGCTAAGCTCTTGGCCTCCTTCACTTCTTCTCTTAGCTCACCCTGCAGCCTGGATGCTTTTCTCCCTGAGGATGCTCAGTTGTTTCTCAGAGAAGGAACAATTCTCCCCCATCACAGTCTCACCCAGTAACATCACTCCCTTTTAAAATTATAAAATATAATCAGAGAACAAAATATATCAGCCATTGCCACTTTATTGATATTTATGTTTCCAGTGCTTCTATGAAGGGTACATCACCTTACTGCTAACCATAAATATCTATATTGACATATTCCAGATATGGTTATAGAACAAATAGGGTTCATACGAGGGCTTCTACCTTTATCCTTCAGAAGTCTGTATATCTTAATTACCTGGCACAATGCTCACTGCAAGTCCTTATTCTGAGAAATCAATATGCCATTTCAGTACAAATAAATAGCAAGACTTGCTCCTCAACTAGAGTGTGCCTTTGATATGCATGCTCTGATATAGATTCAATTTTAAAGACTTGGACACTGATTAAAAACAAATTTTGGAAAAATCAAATTAATGTGATCACAATGAAAGCAACCCCTTCCCCCATCTTCTTCCATGTTTGATGACTACAGTTTTCACTGAATTTAGCTATGCACTTCTAAAAGCTTAGCTATTCTAATCTCACCATTTATTAAGCTTAAGAGGAAATTGTTCTCCTCTTGCTGAGTAATAAGATTATCACATCAGTATTTATTTTGGTCTCAATATATCATTCATCATAGCTCACTTTGTTCCCAGAGTCAGAAACAACTTCTGGGCTAAGTTCTCCTACTCTTAAGTGAGTGTAGTCTCACTGAGGTATATTATTTCCATGAATAAGGTTGATTTAGATCCCCATCATTCTCCCTAGTTCTGCAAAAACATAGATTATTATTTCTATGTAAAAAAACTCAGTCTTTAAACTATGTCAGGAACTCATACTGACCTGTGAGGCCACATGTTTGAGAGCACTCAGACCAAGGGGACCAGTCAGAGAGCTGACAGTTTACAGGACATTCCACCACGCACGATGTATTCATTTGCCATGTCTTCTCCAAACCGAGCTGAAATAAAATAGTCAGTGTTCAGCATGTAACATTCAGTCTGTGTCACCAGCGCAGCCTATGCTTTTGGAATCTAAGATAACTAAAGCTTTAAACAAACGAGAAGTCATGACTAAATAAAAAAGAAAACAATCAGGACATTTAAATTCTCATTTCAAGACAGTCCTAATGCACTTGTTGATTTTTAAAAACATACTTAAATCCCATTTTTGTCAATTCTTTTCTTAATTAGAGCCTAAAAATGGAGGGTTGCCACCCTGTAATATTACTTTATACAGTGGCTAAAGGACAAAACACTTATGAAGTATCAATGCAGTATTTTGAAAATAGTAATATCATCTGCTGTGCCAGTTGAACTTTTGTTCAAGGATGTTTTTGGGGCTAAAACATGTTATTCCACAGTTAATACTACTTCCTAGCAAAAGGAGGGGGCTGAACATGCAGTGGGTAGCCAAATTGTTTGTCTGATGCTGTAGATGCTAAAAGCTTACGTGAGTTCCAGAGAGACTGGACAAGGGAATGGAAGCACGCAGAAATCATGCATGTCTAACAAGGCCAAGAGCTGAAAACAGCTGGAGGCTGGGAGAAGAGTAGATGGAAGAACTGTGCATGTTCGGTCTCTTCTTACATTCCCTAGGCATTTGCTTACATCTCTCTCTCATTTTTACAACACAGTATGTAAGTTTATTACATACGTTAATGTTATCCACTGTACTGTATGCCAAAACTTTGACAATCATTTGCTGCAAAAAAAATCAACCAACGAATCAAACAAAAAACAAGGTACTTTTTCCTGAAAAGCTCTGTGAAAAGCAGAATCCTCTAATATCCCTATGACAACAGCTGTGGATGCTGGAAGAGTATGAGGGAACAGACCATGGAAAACAGCCAAACTCGCACCTTCTTCCTGAAATAGCTTCTCCCAGCACCACTGTCTGTACTGAGCTCTTCTCAGGGCCAGAGTCGGCCTGAGCCTAAAAAAGCCAGGAAACCCCCCAGGCAAGAGAGAATTTTGTGGCCCCACTTTGAGGCAGCAGCTGTACCCCACAGGCCTTGGGTCTGACCCTGAGCAGCCTTTTCTGTGTTCTCATTAGCTCACCTGCTCCAGATTTTCCCCATCCAGCTAAGGAAGACAAGAGATATTCTGCCCATTCCAAATGAATGCAAGAGTGAATAAAAATGTTGGCATAAATACTAGCATAACAATAACTACCCCTGCAGCCTGCATAGCTTCAAAATGATTTAAAAGGATAGGTGGCTTACAGAATATATGATATCAAATACGAAAGAAAACCAATTCTGCCAACATGAACAGATCTTCAGCTTCCAACGATAAAAGATTGTCTCTTCATTGGCCCTCTACAGTGGATCTTGATCCCATCTAGGCTTTTCAGAATTCCTGGAGACTGCGAATATCTTTAAGTAGATAAATCCCCTCACGGTTTTAAAAAATGCTAGAGAGAGATGCTGAAATCTAACTCAAAAGCAAACTAGACATTTCCACTCTATTAATTGTAATGAGTGCAAAGGTTACTTGCATTAAATCAGCACTTAAGGCTTTAAAAGGGAAATAAAGACATTATTTCCTACTAAATACAAGCATGGAGCAATAATTAGGAACATTATCATGTCTTCTATAAATAACCTTCTCCAAGTGCTGGAAACGTCTCACCCTGATAAACTCACCAAGTCCGAAATTTGCATTTGCAGTACCATTTATTGAGACAGATGAGGTTTTAAACCTCTGTTCTGTTTTATACATCAAAGAACGAGTTGTGGGCTTTTCTCTGTTGCACAGCATACCCATGCTCTTTCATGCAGGGGACACTTGAAACCTTTGGATAATCTGGAATTCGGATAATTAGGAAGCTAGAAAACAAGCTTTGAAGTCAGCATTTAGGTCAAATTTTCTGAGCGCAGGCTTGAAAGGCTGCCGAATTGATTCCTTGCAATTACACAAACATGACTGTTTACCCTGCCACGGCTGGCTTTCTCAACTGGACTTTGGCAGCTAGAGAAGGAAAAGCCCAAGAGAAATACTAAAGGTGAAGAGGAGAAAGATGAAGGTCAGATCACCCGCAGTCATCTCCCTTTTGCAAGTCTTAAACGTTGAAGTGCTGCTGAAATGGATTTGGGGAACAGCTTGCAATTTTGCAGATTTTCTCATTTGATATTAATCCCATATTCTCTTCTCCTAACTCTCTTTCCTTCAGCTGATGAAGGATTAAGCTCCAGTTAAGCTTGCAAGCCTTAGAAAATGTAGCTGACTAAACATTTGGAAAAGTATTCAACAGCCCCCTATGTGAAAGAGCCCCTGCTTTGGGTGAGTGGTGGTTTTTGGTTACTGAAAGTCAAGTACCGAAATTACAGCGGACTCTAACGCTGTGTCCTGTATTCCTGGTTGTATGCAGTGGGGCTGCAGGCTGCCAGACCGGCATTCTCTATAAAGTCTGTGTGGTGGTAGCCACAAAAAGTATCTGTACGTCTTTATATGGATGTTAGGAATTAAAGACTAACCTCTGCTGGAGATTAATCATGTAATCTGACAAGCAGACTATTTGCCAATAAAACAGAAAAATTTGCTTTCTAATTCAGACAAAACTGCTGGTTTCTAGGCTCTTCTGATCTGTAATTGCAGGTAAATGAATAAAATAAAGTCCATAAACATGAATATGTCTAGGACCAGCTTGCTTTAGGTGATTTGATTTTCAAATATTCAAGGAAACGACAAGCAGGGCTCTTGTGATGTGCTAATTTTGTAGAGTTAGAGACCAAGTAATCCAGTATTACTATGACTTGAGAGTTTGAAGGGAACTATGTTAACACAACTAAGACTTGGAAATAAGCTCTAGAAATTGATTTATCCTGGCAGTAATCAGGATGATGGCTAGCTCTTTTAGCTGATTGACTGAAGTGAACACGAGATCATATGGAAAGCACGAGCAAAGCAAACACTACAACACAGGGCCTCCGAAGCAATTTTAGTATTGAACGAAGCTGATGCTCATACCTAGAGACAGTGATAGTCAGGAGACAGCGCAAAGGGTTTTTTCACCTAAGGTTTTTGTTAGTTTCTTAAACAGTATATTATTTAGAAATCAAAAAATTGCAATTGGAGACCTTCATTTTTTAAGGCATCAGGGTAGGTTTAGCTATCTTGATCTCTCTTCTTTGCATACAGCAACAACAATAATCATAATCCTGTAAATGTATCCACATCTAAATTAAACAACACTTGTGCTAAATTGATACATCTAACATCAAGTTTTCTGATAGTCCACTGGAAATTCCACTAGTTCTGTTATTACAAAATCGTTTCATCTTTCTCTTATCATCAATCATTCTAACCATACTTACCTTATTTTGAACTTTATTTAACCTTTCTCCAGTGGAGATACGCGGCCCACACAATGCAAAAACACAACAAAGGACCTGACAGACCACCTCTGATTAGATTAGTGAGAAGTGCACAGTACATCCATCTATTTTGATAATTTTTTGAATACTGTCCTCTCATGACCTGGAAAGTCAGAGTTCACTTTCACATCTTTAGAATGAAGGGGCTGGTAAGATCTGAACAGCTTGGCTTTCCTGTTAATCAGGTTAACAGGTTTTACTCCTCACAGTTATTGGATCAGCCCTTGACCTTGTTTTACCACTGCTTACACATCCATAATTTAACCAGTAGTCTTGAGCAGTAAGACTGGGGAGCAGATCAGAGCTTTCTCCAGGAAGATGCATCTCTATACGGCCTAGTAAATCAGAAGGGTAAATAAGACTTTATCTCAGCGGTTGCTGATAAAGGCGGGATCTGACTGCAGTGATTTCTGTGGACTGGCAATTTATGGCAAGTAGTTTTTGAAATCCCTGTTTATTATCTCTGTTTCCCTAATTAGCTCTCTGGCTAATAAACTCCTTTCTTAAATACAAAAAATGTTTCAGAAGTTTTCTGCAGTGAGATTTCAGTTTAAAATGTCACTATTTGTCCTAAATGTTGCTCAAATTCATTGGTTAATAATAGGAATAATTTCACGGCTTTATGGAAGAAGAAATGTATTCATCCTTATAATCTCATAAAGCATATTCTTTCTGTTGAAATATACATTTGGACAGATATATATTTTATATCATGTCTTCGTACGAATTAATCAATACTGCAGTCTCCTACAAATAACCTGAGAGACAAATTTTTTCTTTTAATGCATTAAACTATTAACTTCAGAGAAGCTTGCTGGCCGATGGACAGATGCTGAATTTTTCCCTGAGACATAAATTGCCAAATTATTAGATTTGATTATAAACCCAAGAGGCATGTGTGAAAAAGGGACTTGGCACAGATGTAGACTGTCAACTACAGCTGAAACTTCCTGCTTTTGCTAAGAACCTATGGATTCAGAAATCTAGGACGTTGAAGGGAGTTGGAGAGGCATAAGTCGGACACACGTTAAAAAAACACTGTCCAAGATAAGTGATGGTTTCCTGACTCCCTCCACTTCTGACAAGTCTTTCTTCTTATATAGGCACATCCTGAAGAGCAGCTACTAGCCAGAAAGGTCCTCTAAAAAAGGTGTTGGTGATAAAGCTGCTGTGGAGGGCACTCTGTCTTAGTTCCCCATTGTAAGTGGCTCTATTTTTGATGTCAAGGGACTGGTGGTGGTGGAAGGGCAGCTGAAGTAAGGTCAGTTACTTTCTGTCAGAAACAGGTGTAGGATTGCTCTTAATGCAATACTCATTTTTTTTCTTCCCTTTTCCTTTATATTACTATCTCCATGCAATTGAAAACACTAAGACTGACCCACGAAACCCCAGAAAAATAGTGCTGTCATGTTTGAACAGTTAATTTCAACATTTACAAAATGGCTCTTAACATTTAAGTCCTATCTGCCGAAGATTACTTATCCACGTGTTTCTATTTCATGAACATTTCCTTCTTGCTGCACATATTCTCACATTAGTTTTGGCATCTTCTACATAGCACAACTGGAGACAAGAAGTCAGCATTCAGCCCAGCGGCAGAATAGCATGTGACAAATATTTTCCAACACACTGAGTAAACGATGGATACTGGCAGCTGTCCAAAGCTCTAAACAGAAATTGTATCAAATTAGAATTATGATTAGTATTCCAATTAAGATTTATTACCTTTATTCTACTTTATTAATTATTGTTTCTAACTCTTTTCCTTCAGGGCATAATAATTAGCATTCCTTCATGGAGGCACCTAATAGTAACCAAAGGAAATTCTATACAAAAATCCCTCTGATGATGGTACAGCTCATTTCAGAGGTACTTAAAGATCCATGAATAATGTTGAGAAACATCTGGTGAAGATGGGTTACACACAGTATAGATTAGTTGGCTCAGCATTAATTAGCACCTTTAGAAAGCAGCTTACTCGCAGGTTCCCACTCACCTCCTCACAGTACTTCAGGTCAACTGATTTGCCATCACTGCGAACACAATCTAGCATTCGTGTTTTAATACCATTACCACAGACAGCCTTCTCACTTAGCTGACATGTGCTCCAGTCTGGAAATAAGGAAATCATTAGGATAACAGACATTTTAGATAACAATCCTAATGATCCATTCTCACATTTAATTCTAATTCTGATAGCCTAAAATAATCCTCATAAGCAACTTTAACATAGGCTCATGGAGTCCCTGTGTTACACGTTTTTGGAAACAGCCACAGATAATGCAATGTTACTGTCAGTGACATGATGCCTTCCCGAAAAGTCCATATCTGGTTTTACCTGCAAGAATTTTGAGTAAACCACAAAAAGATCACAGAAATAATTTTCCGGGAGTTACAGCAGGCACATTAAACCCAGGCTGCAAAGTCTCCAGTAACTTTTTATCTGAATCATAGCCTGAATCAGTTTCCAGTGCGAACTACACAGCTCACTGCATAAGAATAGAAAGCAGAAAAAAATCTGTCCTTTAAAGTGAATGGAACTATGTCATAGTCCTTCCCTCTTTCCTGCCCCCTACATACACACACACAAACCTCTCCCCTGGGAAACAACAGCAGAATAAGTTTTTTGCCAACTATGCTAGGCAAGAACAAGATACGGCTGAATAGCACTTCCGCTGAATCAGCAGGTAATGACCTCCAGACCAAGCCAAGTTCTAACTAGGTGAGACCATCTGAAACGCATTCTTTTATGCATCTGCAGTACTAAACATCAGAAGAAGCAGCATTCCCATAAGGGCATTTTCCCAAGCTGTGAGCAGATTATAATATCACAAAATACCTGTCACGTTGTAATCATAGTGGTAGCAGTTTTTGTTCAAGGCGCAGGGTTCTGTCTCAGTGCCAGCAGGACAAGACTTTCCGTCATCCGGTTGTCTCAGAGACTCTGCCGACCTTTCACGGGCATTACTTCCATTGCATGGCTTGAAATGGAAATCAGAAACAGCCGGCTTTGATACTTTGATACCCTGATACCTTTTCACACAATACTATAACAGTCCTTTTAAGTAACCTCTTCACAGAATGCAAATGTAAAATAATGGAACCATGCTGTTGCCTAAGAGAAACTTTCCTTGTTATTTCTGGGAGAACTGTCTGCTGTTTCACCGTTGTAACACCCAAGATGAAATACCCTCTGATTACTTGCATAATACCTTGATACTTTCCTAACTAGTTCATATTTCAGTAACAGTGCTTTGAAATTATTACATCCATAAACAGGATGTTCAGATGCTCACTTTGCAAATAGTGTACCATACTGCACCACAGTCTGAACACTTAGACGTCCTGAAAAAGTTTTGTTTTTTGGGTTTTTTTTTTTTTTTGACAGTTCTCTTTGAGAGAAAACCCAGAATTCTCTTTACACGCTCAGTCTTCATCTACAGCCTTTTGCTCTTTAGAGGATATTACCATTTTTAGTATGGTGACTACACTGCTATGGAAAGGCCCATGGCTAGACTGAAAGCCGACAAAACCGCCACTGACAAAACTAGCCCACACAGAATTTACCCCACAGTGAAGAATGACCACTGGTGAAATTTTTATTTAATAGGAGGCACTTTCACAGAACAATTTCACTTTATGAAAAATAGTGGTACACCTTACTTGCAACCAGTTATCAATGATCATAAAGATGACAGTAAATGCAAAGATTGACATGTGTATCCACTGCTTAATTCAGCGTCTTTCCATAATAATTCATATAAATAAATAAATTCATATATAAAAAAATACATATATCTTCCTAAAACTGTAAATGTTACATTGAAATACATTCCTTACCAAAGAACATCGAGACCATGGTCCCCATTCAGACATGACGCAATCTTCAGGACACGGTAATGTGCATTTTCTAGCACCAAGTGGCATTTCTTCAGGATCACACAGATAGTCCTCTACAGTGTCAGAAGGACCATCCACGGTGTTTAGCATGCACCTGGAAAAAAGGACTGTACATAAACTGCATTTGTCGTGGATTTTGTGCAATATCGGTGTCCTACAGTATTCTGACATACTTTAACTTTTTGTCAGCAAGTAACAACTGTCAATTAATCCAAGTAACAGAACTAAGTATTGATACAGAATAACCGAGAAAAGCTGAAAAACCAAAAGTAACCCCCTATTTTACAGATGACAGCCATATAAAGAAATACAACCGGAATACAGAACTCAAAACACTCACTACCGGTGATTTGCTCAGAGCTTCCAGGCAAATGATCTACTTGATACCAGCTCACCAGTAAGCCTGGATGATATGAGTCCTCTGTAGCTTAGACATGTGGTCTGTATGAGTCAACTGATAATTTAAATCTAGAAATATTAAACCTTTTCTACAGTATATTCTTAGTACAAAGCCCTAATTCACACATATGATCTTTAATTATCATTCTATTAAATGATAAAAAGCTGGAGGCCCAGTCAAAATCAGAACTTGAGCATGCTCAGTTTTGTAGAGCTGAAAAAGATTACAATCTTGATGCCACAGTATTTCCAGTAAAAACAAAATTAATATGAACTTAGACTTCCCTATCAGCAGAAGACTGATTAGAACAGGACAAGGATCATTCAAATTAAGGATGCTTGCATTTGATTTCCAGAACTGCAAAGGAAAAGCTCATGTTGCTATGAAGCCTTTCATACTCACTGAAATATTTTCAGTTTCTTCCATTCAATTACATTACTTTTTTTATACTCAGATAGCTTACATTGCTAGTCTAAACTAATTCTTGAAATACATTTTTTGAAATATATTTTTTTCTAAGGTGAACACAAGAGATTCTGTATCTGCATATATCTGCTTTGCGGAATTAGTATTCTAATAGCATTATGTGATAATAAATGAAAAGTTATCTTTTTCAGTCCCAAGGAGCTGAAATAATTTTCCTTCTTTATCTTTGATGGTGGTACTAAAGTCTTATGTTTTTCAACACAAGTACGGATGAATTCTGACATTTCAACCTGAAAGCTTTTTTTAAAGAGAATTCTTACTAGGAATCTATTTAGTTGCTATTGTATGAGAAGTGTTACGCATAGGTTTTCCTAACATTGGTCAAGCAAAAATTAAGACTGTGACCTCCCTGAAGTAAATATTTACACTGAAGAAACAGTGCAATTGTGAACAAAATCTTGTAAAGTGCAGCCGTTCCTAAGTACTTGTGACAGGGAAAAGAGACCAGTTAGCGGTATACTGCATACAGCTCTCATCTGGGTCCTTCAAACTGAATTCAAATTATGTTTTTGCATTATTCAAATTTATAAGCTCAAAACGTGTGTTGGTCTGTCGTTGGCCCCAGAAAATAATACACATTCAACTTCTTTACCCGCTGTGTATCACATCATGTCAGATTAATTTTAATTAGCCTTTGATTAGCGCTTTAAGTTGACGAGCATACTAGATGCATGGATCAGGTTCAATAAACAACAGAAGATTTCTGGACTCTCCTATTTCACTTCATTCAGTTTGCCTCCTGACTGTGTGTGTACTTAGAAGGTTTGCCTTTCAAAAAAGCCGTAAAAATATGTCAGAGTGCTTGTATACAAATAAAAAATACAACAGACATTAGTTTATAAAAAAAGAAATCAAGGCCTAGATCCTTAACCAATAGATAGAGCTATACTGCACTTACTGAAGCTACGCAGATTTATACCGGTCAAGGATCTGGTCCAATGTACCATGGACAGACTTATGCTATACGTGATACAGAATTACACAGAATTAAATATAAACATGATTCGAAGTGAAGGTTTTTCTCTAAAATCGAGGAGGAGCAATGTTGGTTTACCTGACTTTTCTGGTTTGAACACCTTCTCCGCAATTCTCTTTTAAGTCCACATTGGTCACTTTGCAGACGCTCCAAGGCTCAGTAACCCATATGTACTGACTGCAATCACTGTGGCATGGCACTACCTCGTATACCTGGAATCCATATTAAGTGTCAGTTTTGTTGCACACAAATAAGATAACCATGCAACAGTGGTCATGCTGAATTACAATTAAAAATATGGCTATTGCTCTTTTTTACAAGAGTAACCAACGTTAATTAATTAATTAATTTCATGTCTATAGACATTGCTGATGAAGAGGCTGTTGTAATAATACAGATAACATACTTGATGTAAAACTATAGGAATAAAAAATATCAGAAGCTAAGACATCTAATGAGAGACTCCCTTCTTTTTCTCTGTCACTAAACCCTTGCCATACCATTTCCACTGATAACACCACCATGACTGACATACAAAAATCTTTAACCTGGGCTAAGTGTCTGATATACCTTTGGAAAAATGGTTCAAAGACTTTACTTCTGTACTTCAAATCTCCTTTCACTATTCCATCCTACTGTTATTACTCATGGGGGAGAGAGACGAGCTCAGTGTAAATTATATCTATATATATTGCTTCATTTACATCAAAATATTTTTAATTGTGGATAATTAAAATCATTCTATTTTGCATACTGGAATTATTAGGCTTAGATTTGAATATCGATTTGAAATATTGTCTCATATAGTAACTTATATAGTGTTCCATACATTTCTTTAAGATACATTACAAAAAAGAGCAGACAACGTAATCAGGAAGCACATGTTAAGGTTAGCTCTCTATTTTAGAAACTCTTACCTGAGCCTGAAGAAAGTATTTTCATGAACCCAAAAGAAAAGCCAAAGATAAAAAGAAAGAATGATTAGAGTGAAGCATAAGTATTTAAATGGCATTCATTCAGTTTTTATTGCAAACAATATTCTGTGACTTGTGCCAAGCAAAAGGCATCAAATTTTTCCTCTTGCATCTCTCTTCCTATGATGAGGCATTCTTGGCAAGTTTGCCCTTAGTAGAAAATAAAGTTTATAAAACACAGCCAGTGGGAAGTGATTGTAAATAAGTTAGCCTCTTTCTCAGATATTTCCTGGCACATGATAAAACTGTTTTCCTTCTTTGCCTATTATGAACATTGACTCCTTACTAAGCAGGAAATCCAGCTTCCCTGAGATGACAGAAAACCCTGAATAGTTTTTGGAGAAGATACTGGACTTCTCTATTAATTAAAGGTATTTTGATAGCATTATGTGTAACAGGTACAAGGGAATAAAAGCAACGGGCAGTTCTCATCCTTCTGAAGTTCTCAAGTCTTTCACTGAGCATCTTAATTACGCCTAAGTTACTTAAAGCCTGTTGCCTCAAAAATATTTTATACCAGCTAACTTAACAGATCATTCTGAACATCCAGTTAGCACAACTAATATTTAAAGAGAATCTAATACGTCGCCCTTAACAAGTCCTTAATTTCTTTCTAGTAACACTAGCTAGAAAAAGACAGCGGATGGTCTGGTATTTTATCAGTTAGCCTGCCACAAAAGACCATCCTTCACAAAAGAGATCCCCTGCACAATGAATATGGAGTGAATATATTAGACCACTATGCAGCTGATCAGCCCAGGCACAACAAATCCAGCGCAGTCAGGACATTTTTGCCTTCCTTGAACTACATAAGCCTGAAGTTAGATGTGAAGATGGGTGGCTTAAACGCATTTTGAGCAAGGAACTGGATTCACTACACAGCCTGTAGTCACACGGGATGTGGCATGCACATTTATTCTTATCCAGGATTTCCAAAATGAGGATAGGGAGGCTTTAATTAAGGAGACTATCTCTATATGGCTCACTCTGGTTGGCATCAAAATAAATATATAAAACCTGTATATTCAATAGCTTTTCCAGTAACAGAAAAATTGGGTATCTGGCCAGAAAGCCAAAGCAGAACTTTATATTGTATTGTATTTGTTTGGTGATATTCTCTTGGCACTACTGGCATCTCTGCAACTACGCTTGCAAGCTATTATAGTTGAGTATAACAAGGATTTTATTTCTACCTAGGTAAGTACAGAAGCAAATAATGCCTGGAGCCAATGAAGAGAGGGATGCTCTTATTTATCTAACAATCTCAGATTAGCCTCTTCAATTGAAATCCTCTGAAGATCATTAATGCAATTTTATAATAAATCAGATTCTAGTATTATGAGCTGCAAACCCACATTGTAGCAGTAAAGGTATATTTATTTTCCAATTATCTAGATGAAAAAGAGAACAACTCTTTGAAGTTAATGTCAACAAAGTTCCCCTCTTACAGTATTCGAGAGCTTGCTATTTGCATATGATTTTCTTTGTGAATTTTCTGTGCATACACATCTGCCCATATATGAGAAGTGGAGCTATGCTAGTCAGGAAAAATAAGGACCCAATTGTTAGCCAAAAAGATGCTAACTTAGAATGGGAAGAATGAGAAAAACAGTTTACAAGGTGAATAAAATTATGACTTCCTCCTTTAAGGCTTGTATGAGACAGTTAGAAATCATTTGCATTAAAAATACCATCTGTGATTGAGAACAGGCACACTTTCATGGTTGGAGTGCAGTCACCCCTGGCTTGGCTGTAGTGAAAGAACATGACTTCCAATGTGCCTTGATTCCTGCAGGTTTGGTACTTCCTTGGGACCGTGACGACTTTTAGCTCAGGGCAGCGGGTCGTGAGTGCCGTGTGTTCAGCGGGCACGTGGCCGGGGAGACCCCCGGCACACACTGCCCAGGAGGGCACAGAGGAATGGCCAAAAACAAGCTGGATGGGACAACCAGCACCCACCGAATTCAGCACCCCTCCAAGCCACAGGCAGTTATACATGTCCACCCTGACAGATGCTGAGCAACCTGCTCTTAAACTCCACCAGCATCTTAAGCACTTTATTCCAATGTTTCACTATTCCTTCTATTAGAAAGTTTTCTTAAGCCTTTACCCAAATCTGCCTGCAGCAGTCTAAGCCTACTGCTTTTTATCCTATCCATGATGGCCATGGAAAATGGATTATTTCCTCCTTCTTTGCAACAGCCTTTTATGTACATGCTAGTAGACTGCTAGCATGCTCGCTCCCATCATCTCTTCCACAGGATAGACAGTATGTTGCAGTCCTTCCCCAGCGGTCATATTTTCTAGTTCTCCGATTACAGCACAGCACCTCTGTACATCATCTCCCACATACCTGAGGGAATCAAAGCCCCATTTTAGCCATTATGTTTTGTATATGTGCAAATAGGCATATATTATAAATAGACAGGTATTAAATAAAGAAGTAAAACTAATTATATTTAATACTTGAAATAAATATTCTGAAGTGTCAGTAATGACTAGGTTTTCCAGCTGAATGAATGGTGGATCAGATTTAGATTAATTAATTAATCCACAACTCCTTAGTCATTGTCACAGAGCAGGTTTCTTAAATTTCTTAATTTAAGAATTTACAGTGAGTGTATTTAAGATTAAAAGATACAGCCTATCTCATCTGTAGAACTGCCTTCTCATGAAGTACTATATTTCAATTTCATTTTTAAAGAAATTATACATTTGCTTTTTTTTTATTTTTACTATTATTTGGCAACTGCTATATACTATTATTTGGCAAGTGCTATATAACATTGCAACATATCAAATTCTAGGCAAAGTACCAGTAGAGGGCAATGGTACTGCACGTAAGAGGCCAATAGACCCCCTAGCGAAATCACCTTTGATATAGAAAAAGAAGAACCTACTATGTACCATGTGAATATTAAAAAGGAAAAAGATTTTTGTTTAAATTATAATTTACTCCTATTGAAATGCATTCATCCTAATTTAAAGCAGATTTACATGCTGACCTAAATCCAACAACCCCCTTTCTAGCTTGCATTTTGTTAAAGTAGATTACAAACTTAGTTTATTAGCTGCAGTTTAACACTTATTATTTTCTAAATTAAAACTAATTACATTCCCTAAAGTAGAAAATTAGATCAACAAGCTATTTCACTCTGTGCTAGCAAAATGTCAATAGGATAATATTAAGTACATGCATTTTATTCAAATGTAAATTAACAGCCCTTTTTTTCCTACCTTTAAATATTTACAGAGAAGACTATGTAGTTCTTTAAGATGCTTCTGCAGAGTATATTAAATTCAACAGTAATATGAACATAAATCAACTCTGAAGAGCATAAGTTATCTGAAAAGGTAGGGTTTTTTTCTAAAACTCTCCAAGGAAACCAAAAGGCTACTGACAGGCCTCACACAAGTTGGCAAAGAATGCATTTCATAAACTTTTAGTGAGAGGTTTCTTCTTTTCAGTATTGCCTTTACACTCAACTTTCTAATCTGGCAGAAACTTTTTAAGACAAGTTGGGCTGCTTTTTGGGACCCTAAGAAAGGGTCTGCAACCTAAGAAAGGCACTCGCAAAGTACTAGGTTCAGCCTGAAGCCTGCTATGCTTAAAACACATGGTGCTGGGCTATGTCTGTTTTAGCGAACAGTGCTGCTACCAGAACTAAGAGCTGTGCAATGAAGCAGCTGAACGCGGCAAGCCCCAGCTCCACCCCAGGTATGTGCTTCGGGGGGTTGACTTGGATTAGGGCTGAGTTTGGTCTCACAGACTAAATGCTCATTAGCGGTCAGAGTACTCCTGGTGCACTCTTAGAGCGCTTCCTCTGATTTAGTCTCATTTGAAGAACATCCAGTTTGTGTGCCCAGCCCGTCCCGCAACAGAAACCAGTGTGGGGTTAGTGGGAACAACGGGGAGACCCACTCCAGAAGCGCATTCCCGATTGCACCAGCAGGTGGACCGCGAACGGCAAGCACTGGCTTCACTAATGCACAGTAAGGGGCACGGGGACAATACTCTGTGAGTGTCTGGGAAACTTTTATTTGTTTTCTGATTTAAGGTGATTGGGCGAATGATACTGAGAAGCTTACCATTTTGGGCATCTATAACAAGATACGTTTTACCCATTGCAAGAGAAGATCTTCAGAAACGTGAGGTCTTCACAATCTCATGCAAGAATATTTCATTCTGTTCAATTTACAATTTAGATAATGTGCTAAGCTCCTGCAGATGATTAAGTAATGTAGGCAGATCCTACATTGACTGAGGAAGTTTAGGCCAATATATACTCCTTCTCCCACCTGCATCTGCCCCTTATGCACATTTTTTATAGCAAGAAGCAATACAGCTAAACAGGTGGGTTATTTAAGTTGTTGAAAAAGCTGTATCAATAACATAAACAAAATTACCTGATTGACGTGGTCTAGCTTGGGACAGGGTCTTCCACCATTGTAGGGTTTTTCACGGAGCCATTTAGATCGAACCTTTACCCCACTCCCACATGATTTACTGCAGCGAGACCAGTTGGACCATTCGCTGAGCTTGCAGTCTGAGGGACACGGAATAATACAGGCTTCCTCGATATAACCTGAGTGAATGGAAAAGAAAGGGAAATCTCTTCAGCATGTCACTCTGCCACTTCTCCCTGAAGCTCTCGTCTACTTCAGTTAGATTGTCCAAAGTTTGACTTGACGGGACTGTGTGAATAGAGAGATTTCTTCATCATTAGGGCTAAATTAAATTCTGCAGAGAATTGACACATATAGCTGGAGACTGTGTTAGAGTAACAGCTGAGCATCCTCAGTGTTATCTGATTAGGATTCACGCTCATCAGATTTCAGCATTCTAACTTTCTGACAGCTAGAATGTAATTGACACTAACCCACCTCTTGTCACATTGTTCTTATGCTGTAAAAACAATTTTTTCTTGAAAGACAAAGGCTTAATTAAAAGCTGCTCCATAATTTTATCAAGTCAACTGCGCTTACACATCAAAAATCTAACTGAATCAAAAGATACGCTTCTTATCAGCCTGGAACGAGGGAACTTAACACCTTGTGACCTTTCAGAGGCTAGAAAGAGAGAGTGGTTTGCCACATTAATGATCTGCCGATTAACCGCCATCTGCCCCCAGTAGCACACGGAATAATTGCACTGAATGGAAAAGCAGATGTTTCGTTTGGATAAGTCATGGGTCCTGAGAGGCTGGAAAGGGGTAGGACATGGTCTGCAGGGAGTAACGTGAAGCTTCAATTCACTGAATAAGTGAAAATGTCTTTCTTTCAAAGCGACATATGCCATAGCTTTTACAATGTGTGTCATTCATGTCAATATTTATAGCAGAAGCTATAAAATGTCAAAAAAAAAAGCTTGCCTTTGCAACATTTTTACTACAACTAAACCTAAACGAACTCTCCTCTCCCCTTTCCTTCCCCTAAAGAAGACAAGAACCTACACTGTGTCAGAGCCACAAAATATTTCCTGTTGGTAAATGTTGACTTTAACGACAAAGAAAATCTTGGTGCATATAAAGCAATGAATTAAAATATTTGATGAATACTATTCTAAAATTAATACATATGTGGGTAAGATCACTCTCAAACAAATGGCACAGCTTACTATTTATGGCTTCACACGTGTTTCTTATGTATCATGACATTTTTTTCTTTGCCACTGCATGTTGAAAGCAATCACTGTCATTTTCCTCAGCTCTGATGTTAGCAGCTTTATGTTCTTACTTGTACATGAATCCTAAGGAAAGCTATTCTGGAATCCTAAGGAAAGCTATTCTGTCCTTTCTGAAAGTAACCAATACCAAACAATCACATGCAATGTAAAGAATCAAAACACTTAAAAGATTTTAATTGTATATACTATTTCTAGTTGCTTCCCTCAGTTTGCCTTAAACACATAGAACATCAGGGTTTTTTTTAATCATATAATAACAATAGCAATATTTTACTTCTAAACTCAGATGATGATTTTATTCACAGAATCACAGAATCACAGAATCGTTTAGGTTGGAAGGGACCTCTGGAGATCATCTAGTCCAACCTCCCTGCTCAAGCAGGGTCACCTAGAGCATATTGCCCAGGATCACATCCAGACGGCTTTTGAATATCTCCAGCGAAGGAGACTCCACCACCTCTCTGGGCAACCTGTTCCAATGCTCTGTCACCCTCACAGTGAAGAAGTTTTTTCTCAGGTTCAGATGGAACTTCCTGTGGTTCAGTTTCTGCCCGTTGCCTCTTGTCCTGTTGCTGGGCACCACGGAGAAGAGGCTGGCCTCATCCTATATGGAGACCTTCCATACAGGTCTCTTCTGTCTGTAAGTGTTAAACAGTTAAATAAATATACAGAATACATTCTGAATTTGAGTACTGCAGAACTACTTTTCACCAACCAGTATCTTCTTTCAAATGGCTAAAACTACTAGATAGAATTATGAGCACGTTTATTAAGTGCCACTTTACTGATCAGCTAAACGAAAGTGTATGAAAAGGTATACTGCGCTACACAAAATCTATTTCTGAAGATCATATCGCTGCCTATCAGAGGTGGTGACATAGATTGCCCTGCAGTAGTAGGTGCAAGACCTCACCTTACATCTCTAGGTTAGTCTTAGCAAACAGACGTACCTGATCTCAAAGCCTCATCCTACACTGAACTTTGACTGCATAAATATCCAACTATATATCCTCACCAGAAACGAGCTTTCGACAAGCCCTTTTAGGCATGATACAAAACTGCACACTCATATGATTAAGAAATTACTGAATGAAAATTTTGTAACAGTAGCAACATAATTAAAAGAAACAACACTTCTCCAAACAATAAGATAAAATAAACATTTAGTGAGATTTACTGTTTGATAGAACAAGCTGAAGATGTTATAACTCCTTATGAATTTGCTTGATATCCTGAAATGCTGCATTTCTTTTCAACTTAACTTCTAAATAATTTTTTTGCAGGGGAAACGTATTTACTTTAATGCAGTTACGCCATTTAGCATTTGTTAAATTTCTGCCTCTGTAATTAATGTCTGGAAGAAAACAAATTCAAGTTGCTTTACATAAATTGTACTCCTTTAAGTAGATAAGTTCAATCAGTGGAGGCTGATTCAGGAAGGCTTTAAGAATCTATCATAAACTTCTGAGCTATTTTAACTTTATCTTAATTCATCTCAAAGGGATCTTCTCCATCTGCCTCAGCCACAGAAAAGGTCTTCTCTAGAATGCCACAATATTTTGGGACCTAGAAAACTAGGGAGTGGAACACTTCCCGGCCTACCAAAAGGAGCCTGTGTGGAACAAACATAAGTAACCTGATGGCCAAATTAGCACCTGTTTTCCTTTATTTTCCTCTGATCCAAAATAGGACAATTAAAAAAATTTTTTTTGAGATAATGAGAATGTTAGTCAAAAAGCTTAATAACATTTTTAGAATCTTGCAAACAGATGAGGCATTAGATCAGTTATATTATACACAAGTCAGATATAACATTTTAATTACACTGAACTGTAGTTCAAATGATTCCATAAAATATCAGATGAAATCAAAGCACCACAGGAATCTCTGTTCGTATAATCTATGAAATATACATATCTGAGTCAGTCACTACAACTGCTTTAGCACAGAAAGCAATAAAACCAAAATAGCATCTTATTACGGGTACATAACCTTAAAAAGAGTCATAAAATAGTGAGGTACAAGCTTACGCATGTGTTAAGACATTTTGGAAGGATGCAGTGGGCCATTCCACGTGAAAAAAAAAAACTGGACTGCAGTGCTATGAAGCCCTTTATCCTACAAGCTTCATGGGACAACTTCTGCTCACTGTATAGCTCTTTCCTATACTGTTTTCTGGATACCTGGCTTGTGATGCTCTCTGCTCCCTCATTCTTATTTCCTCAGTACTCAAAACTCCATGAAGAATAATTAGCTAGCTGAACAGTAAGAATGGAAAAGACACAGGAAGACAGAGAACAAGAATGGAGTCAGTTACTGAAGGCACAGAAAAGAAGCTCTATAAGGTAGGAAGCGTTGGAGCTATTGGAAAGGTGGAACATTTTTAAATAGCAGGGAGAAAAATATTTATTATCAAGGGAGATGAAAGATGGGCATAAAAAACTCCTAATCATTGGTACAACGCTGAATAAAAAATAGATCAAGAGCATGAACAGAGTAAAGGGATCTTGAAGGGAACTTCTCAGCTTCCAAACATTCTTCAAACAGAAGAAAGAGAAAAAGAAATGAGTGAAGATAGTTTTCATGGCAAAGAGATAAAAGTGGAAACAACAGAGGAGACACAAAACAAAAGAGGCACTGAGGGGGAATTGAGGAAAGGGAAAAATAGACAGGGGGAGGGAAGAGGAAAATAAATGGCTCAGAACATAGAGTCAAGAGAATTGTAGAGATACATATTGCATAGGGAAAGAAAACAAAGAAGGAAGAATAAAGAACTAGAGATCCTGCCAGAAGCAGTATCTTCACAAAGCACAAACAGAATGCAATGCCCTAAAGACGTGCTCAGGTGTCTCCTGACTAAACAGTGAAACAGAATGATGAATGTTCTCCCACCAAAAAGTAAGAGACCAAGGAAACAAATAAAAAGACTGTGATATGAGTTGGATTCTGTTAGGTAATTAATGTGTAGAATGAAAATGACAAGTCCCCAGTTATACTTGAGATTAAAATGCTTTTGGCATATTCATTCTTTGGCATCTTTTCTTCCTCTTGGGCACCTCACTATTTCAGCTTCACTCCACAGTAAATTTAGTGTTTAGCTATGCCACTGGGCTCCACTGGAATGCAAGCAGAAGCAGACTTCAAATTGCTTGCAGGTATTTCTCTGCCTAAGAAAGAAGACTGAATTAAATAAATTACCTGTTGTAAATGACTCATTCCACTCAATTTACTGACCTTCTAATGCCACTTTTCAGAAAATGCTTCTCTGCAGCATGTCATCACCTCACACACATTTCTGTGAGCCTGATGTCAACAGATGTTTTCAGGATGACTGCGGTTGATTACTGCCAGAAATCCCCAGCAATCATTACTCAAAAGTAATGAAAAGTTTAAAAACTTATACTCATTTTTTGTTTTCTCTTATATTTCAGGTGCTTGCACCTGTAAATTTTGTCCATGCTGTAAACATTTCAGCAAGAAGAGAATAAATTGTGATAAATAATTTCCACATAGAAAAGTTACCGGCAAATAGGGCTGGTGATGTAGATACATAGTTTCTGACATGAACAGGACACGAACGAGCCTTTTTCCAGTTTTCAGTCATGTTTCCACTTCTGATCTAATCATCTTTGCATGGATCCCCCTTGTGTTAGAAAATGCAAAATCTTAAAGTAGCAGTCAGTCTGTCCCCAAATAACCTGAAAGCTAAAGAGGGGCTCGAGTGGTGGAATATCACACAATTATATCACACACATACAGGCAGGGATGTTGAAGAGATGAGACTCAGGGATACTCCGGTACACAGTATATTCCCTGCACAGTCCAGAAGGGTATTGGAAAGATATGGCCATCTCTTAAGGCCTACTCCTTTTCCTGGTACAGTGGTCCATCCCACCTTGC